GCCCATGAAATAATGCTATGTCAAAAAACAGGATCTAAGATCATACTGAAAGTATAATCTCAAGTGAATAAAAAAATAAATGAGGGCTGGGGATTGAGTTCAGTGGTTCTGTCACCTGCCTTGCAAGTGCAAGGACCTGAGTTCAATCCCCGGAACCGCCCCCCTCCAAAATAGATGCAATTCTTTTTATGTACAAATAAGATAGCAAAGTGTCTAGCTTGCCAGTTAGAAGCAGAAATGCCCAAGTAGTCTTGATGCTGTGGTCTGGGAAATATAACGGTGCCACTCTCTACCTCACTTTCACCCTCCATAAAATTGAGATAATAATAGTACCTTACCTCTAAAGACACTGCAATGATTCAGTTATCTAATGCACATAATGCATGTAAAGCTGTGCCTGGCACAAAATGAATGCTATAAAGAGCCATTCATTTTTGTTTTTATACATTGAACACTAAAACACTGCCCTTTCTAGATGATGAAACTATGTTATCTTTATTCTTGTATTTACATTTTCTATGCTTGCTTTAGTTTTTCAAATTGCCCACAATAAGCACTTATCACTTTTTTGACCTGAAAAATGTATGATGTCTTCAAAACAAAGCAGCATTATAATCTGACTTCCAGGGTCCAGGGAGGAGATTCACCAGCTAGTTCACACTGTCACATTGTCTAAGGCTCTCGGTTCCCAAAGAACACAGCAGAAACTCTTGCATCCTGTAATGTGAGTGATGGGGGCCAAAGAGGGTAGAGAAGCAACAAAATGTAGCTGTTTAAAACATGATCACTGGACTTGAAGAAATAGTCACTTTGGCTAAGTTGCAAATTCCTCTTAATTTTGTTTCCTCATTTGAAAAATGGAGGAAAAATAATTTCCAGTTCATAACATAATTACAGAAGCACATAGAATTGAATAGGGCCCACCACACTGTATATGGGACACAGGAAATATTAGCAAATCATGATCATGATGAAATTCACTTGCAATGGAATGACAGCTTTGGGGACAGATTAACTAGAGTTTGAACTAAGGCTTCTGTCCCTAATTTCAGTGTGGCATCCAAGATCAAAAGAGGTCCTCCTACCCTGCACTCCCAATGATTCTGTACACAGCATTCTATTTATTGTCTCTTATACTGTTTACCAACCGTTTATTTTTATTGGGTTTTTTTTTTAATTACATTGTATTTGTCTTCACAACTTGATTGCCAACTGCATAAGAATGAGGAAGAGGCATATCACATGCGTGATTTTCTGTCTCCTTAATGCCAAACACAATGCCTAAAACAAACTAGTGATCCATAATTATGTTCCTGGTGAAATAATGAACTCCCAGAGAATAAATAAACTCAGTCAAGTCACTTTAGTTGCCTTGTCTAGTTAAAAATAATAATAATAATAATAATAAGTGATCTGGGGAAAATATAGGGCCTGACACACAGTAGGTATTCTTCTGATATTGGTTTATTCTCTTTGGGTATTGATCAGATTAGCTTTCCTCAGACATTTAGCAGACATTTTCTAAAACTATTTTGACCTTCTGGACAAATGCTATTCACACTGAACCTTAAACTATTACCTGTGAAGCCTGGACAATTATTTGATAAAATAATGTTGTTGTTGTCATTTGTTTGTTTGTTTCCTTTTCTACAGAACAAAAGAATCTCAGAAACTAGAATTTTTTAAATTCATGCCCCATGCATGCCAGATGCAAAAAAACATTTTGAGGTGCTAATTGGTGATGTAAAAAAGTGAAATAAATGAAAAATAAAAATGCAACAGTGGATTCTGGCAGCAAAGAAGAGAGGTTCTTTTCAATCTAAAAATGTTTGTCATCCTAATTTCTACTGGTTTAATTCATCTCATAAACAAAGGAGGAAAAATTGATGATTAAGATGTGTAAGGAAAATTTTCAGAACAGAGTTAAGAGGTGACTAGAGACCATATGTTTACCAAGAATGGAGCCTTCAGCAAATGTTGAGGAAGAGCAAATATGCTTAGTTGCATGCTTTTGGTGATCATGTCCTACTGAAAGAATATATCCCATTAGCACTAATGGCCATTATATACACATGCTATTAAAACAACATATAACCTTTCCAGAGACCATGAGCAGAGAAGAAGCTAACAATATATTGTCAAGGGCAAAAGGAACAACAAAATAAGCTGCCATATATGAATTTTTTCAAACATATCCATATTAGAAAAAAATATTTGTAATATTAGCAAAGCTATGACTTGTTTAGCATCCTAGGTAAAAGCCATTCACCTCTGTCACAAATGCAGAATCCATTGTGACAGTGGCTATGAAAAAGAAAGTGTAAAATAAAGCATAATGGGCCTTGTGATTTACTTTGATGCATGGAGTTTGACCCAAAAAAGAAAAACTCACAGTTAAATTATGTAGTAAATATAAGCTCCAAACTCTCTAAAGTATTCAACAAACACTGCTACCACAAACTACTGGGCAAAATTAAATACAATTCATCCAAGTGTACTTTGGGCAAAGTTTCCAGTGATGAGAATAAAAAGTAGTCATATGTTTCCATCAGCCAGTTCCAGAAACCCAAGCACTACTGGCCTATAAATTCCTCCTCATCAGTGTTTGAGGTCTTCTGCAGTCGAAAAGTCCAGAAGGCAAGTTCTAAATAGGTCAGGTCTTGGGAAGACTACATTAGTTCTTCCTAATGAGACCCAGGGTAGGCTAGAAAACAAAGTCAATGCTTCAAGTCAACATGGTTAAAGTCATGTTGGAGGAAGGCTTTCCAGGTTTTCCACAGCTGTATCCACACATCTGGAAAGGAATGTATATGAATGGTGCGAGATGGCAGCAGGTGTTACAGGGGTGACCATCTTCAGCTTCAGAGAAGGACATGACCCGACTCAATGCTGCTGTGATAACCTGGGTCTCTATGATGGGGTTTGAAAGATTAAAACATGTTGTAGGGCAGTGATAGAAAACCTTTCAGAGACCAAGTACATAAACTTCAACCCAAACCCCCTTATCTCAAAGTGCAATTAAATCTGGATTATGAGGTTTTAGTTTCAAGAAAACAACTCAGATACTTGGCATGCATGCCAACAGAGAAGGCTCTGTGTACCATAGGTTTGCCACCACTGTAAGAGCTGTTTAAAGTCAGAGACCATACTACAGTTATCTCTAGGTTCCCTGCTGTGCCCACCACTGTACTTTGTATACATTAAACACGCAAAACACAGGAGTGATGAGATTATGAAGGCACCATTACATCAAATATTAACCCTTTCCTTTTGTGAGTCCACTTATCCTTTTCCCACAATTTCTCAGTGCTCTTTGGGGCTCTAGCGAAGCTAAAGATTGAGTCAGACCCAGGCTTAAACCCAATTTCCACTACTTAATAAGAATAAATACTTTTACTGTGTCATAGATGTATAGAGAACTCTTCTAAATAACTTTACTGATACTCTCTGACTTATGACAAGTTTGTACCTGGAAATGCCTACTGTAAGTTGAAAGTATCCTGAGTCAAAATACATTTAATAATTCTAACCTACAGAACACTATATAACTGAGCAACACAATGCACTACAAAGGATCACTTGATTACCCTCATGATTGTGTGGCATACAAGAAAATGGAGCTTGCTCCTGCCACCCAGCACTCTGATAGGGCACCATATACTGCATTTCTTGCTAGCCTGGGAAAAGATTAAAATTCAATGCATGACTCAATGCACATTGCTTTTGCATAGTTGTAAAAATCAGAAAATCATTAAGTTGAACCATCCTAAATTGGGGACCGTCTGAATATATTAAGTCTTTTTACCCTCATAACAACTCAAATGTAGGTACCCATGGCATCCTTGTAGGTAGATGAAGAAACTAAGGCACATATGTTATCTAAAAGCACAAAGACAGCACTAAAAATCCAGCTGTAATGTTTATTAGCTGAATGATCTTAGGCAAGTTACCTAATCTTGTTATGCCCTACTCTTTTGTTCAGTATATCCTGAATGCCCACTCTATGTCAGAAATATTTCTCACATAAAAATATAATAAAGGGTATAGGGATGGACAAGGAAAAAGTGCCCCTCCTCCATTAGTTGGAAACCAATCAGAGAGACAATATAAAAAAAATCATTCTATTTAAGTACAATAAACAGAATAAAACAAGATGATATGGTAGAGTAGCAGTGAGAGAAAGGCTTTAGCTAAGGTAGTCAAGGAGGTTTTCTCTGAAGAGGCAGAAAATAATCTGAGATCCAAGAAATAATCCAGTCAACACATTAACCAATTGCTAGTGGGTAGTGGAACCTTTGGAGAAGATGGTATGTGGGGGTTAGCATACTTTAAAATGATCTTCCTGCTTTCTATCCATTTCCAGGAGTCCATCCACATGCTCTCTCCCGGATGGCCCCAGCCTGACCAGGCCAACTACATGCCCTTGATAGTGTGTCCAGGTATAATCTTTCCATGTGATCTGACCATGGTGAATTTATATTTTCACACAAAGTGGAGGATCATGTCCACCCCGTGAAGCTCTGCCCATTGAGATTACCTTGTCTCACTTCTGCCTTGCACTGGGCAGAGCTATAGTGCATCACAGCCCATTCTTGGCTTCCAGCCACATAATGAAACAACAAGTCTGTGAACCAAGGTCTGCTCTTTTCTCCTGTCATTCACAAGGAACCCTTATGTGTTCACGGGTTTATACAGGTTTGTCCTCAGAGAGAAGGACTGGGCCAAAGAGAAGGATGAACGTGGGTCTAGCCATCCACTCGTGCAGCTGACTTGTGCCTTCTGGTCCTGCACATGGTTGTTAACAGATCATAATGATGACAATGGCGATGATGATTGTGATGGTGGACTGATGATAGGTCTACCCAATTATGTCAGCTTTCCATCACAGTAACAAAATACCTGAACAAAACAAAGTATAGTACCAAAAGGTTTATGTTGGCTCATGGTTTCAGAGGTTTTGGTTGATGGTAGGCCAGCTCTATTGATCTAACTCTGTGGCAAGGAAGGGTGCTACAGAGGAAATTTGCTCACCTTATGGCAGTCAGAAGGCAGAAAGAGAGTCTGTATTAGTGAGTTTTCTCCTTCATCCACTTTTATTCTATCTGGGCCTCCAGATTATCAGATGTTGCCACCGCATTCAGGGCAGGTCTTTCCCCAGTTTGTGTCCTCACATGCCCATCTTCACAGATACACTCAGAAGTCTGTCTTACTAATTTCCTTGGCTCTTCTCAATCCAGTCTGCAGAGAGCAGGGGAAAAGGACATTATTAGAACTCCTGCAGTGAGTCCTAGTCTCCTGCGAGCCACAAGGTAAGCACAAGGTAAATTAATGAATTAAGACAGAAAATGAAATTGAGATAAGCTTTGAGCCTGAGCTTTGAGACAAATCAATGTTGCTCTGGGCATCAAAGACAAAATACCCTGAGGTTACCACACCTTTATTCCATATATCAGGAGTCACGAATGGGTCAGAGAGCAGTGGTATTCCTAGAACAATAAGGAACTTCTCTTTTTTAAATCTTTATTAAGTTTTTTGGTACTTTAGGTATACAATACAGTTACAGTCACCATTAGGATCTTGTACCTTTACATGATTTATCTTCGTTCTTATTTTTCTCCATTTCCCAGCCCTCCCTTCACTCCCTCCACCATTCCCTGTTTACAACAACATTGTTTCTATGTTTTTCCTTTTCACATATTTTTTTCTTTTCCCTTTTTCCCTTTCCCCTACCCCTCCCACTTCCTCTACTCCTTTAGATCTTTTCTTCCTAATACACAATATCAATTGTACATTTTTATCCTTATTTACACTTTTAGTTTTTCACACGAGAGAAACTATTCCATATTTACACATCTGTAGATGAAGATTTTGTTTCTCCCCAGGATGTCTTCAACTTATGTAATCCTGTCCTGGAGTAGCACAGAATCACCAGACCATTGAGATTTTAGCTGTGACCATAGTGAAATGGAGTTATGTGTCAACATACCATAGCTGGCCTGTAGGTATGAAAAAAGGCCTAATCAAAATTTAATTGTGAAACAATTTTCCCCAAACATTATGTAGAATTGCTCCCAACACCAGTCAAGTTGAAAGTCAAGATTAACCATCACAATATTCATAAAGCCTAGCTCATGGTGGGCAGCTCTGGCCATGAGCCTGTTTGATGGTAATAGGTTGGATGTTCTGTCTTCCCAGGGACAAATAGCCACTTTTTGAAAGCTATATACTCTATTGTGGCTGTCTTGGCCTTATTCTAGAACCCCAAGGGTGTACATTCTAATTCCACTGGAGCCTCCCATAAACCCACATAGTCGTTCCTACCATAGAGACTTGTAGTATCATAGGCTTGCTAGGTCTATGGCTCCAGTGGTGGGGCTGCTCACACTACAGACTAGATCTGCCAGAGTTCTTTCTTGGTCTTGTCCCCACTCAAAACTGGCAGTTGACCATGTGGCATAGTAAATGGATTGAAACAGTATTGCCAAGTATAGAATACACTACCCCAAAATCCAAACCAGCCTATTAAACACTGCTCTTCTTTCTTAGTGATAGGATGGGAGAAATGAAATAATTTGCTCTCTTTTTCAGAGGTGATGTCTCAGTGTGATCCAGACAGCCTGATATATAAATATTTCATCAGTGTAGTAAATTATCTTCACAGAGTTTATCTCTTACCTTTTGGAGTACATATAATCTACCAAAGCCTCCACTTAATTGCTGCTTTTTGCCTATCTGATCCATATGGTCCTTAAAACCATATGATGACAGTGGGCAACAAAGTCCGTTCCACATAAATATGAATTATTTCTGATATGTGTTATTGATGGGGATGGGGAAAACCCACTCACTAGATCCATCACCACACCTGCATCTACATATTTGAAATCATTTTAATCCACACTAGCAATAATACCATATCGAGCAGAGCAAATGAAATTAGAGTAACTGTGTGCTTGATTCTATGGCAGAACATTGCCGACTACTAGAATTCATCCAGTTTTTGTAGGAATCAGACTGGTGAATTATATAATGATCATCAATCTTGGGTCTACCCAGCTAAAATATTGGGCCCAGCAACACTCCATAATTAAGTGGAAGTAGTATGGTTATGATCAAGAGCCCCAAAAGAATGGAGGCACAAATAAGTTATATGAAGAAGCAGTCCATAGTCTCCACTGCCACTATGCTGCTTTCTTTCTCCCAGCCTACACCTATGGACTCATGGAGGAGGAGGCTATGGTTACCTGACAAAAGAAGAAAAGACTCTTTATTTCCCATATTGTTCTGAATGTTATTCAAGCCCTACACAGGACAGCCAGATCACTAAAGTGCCTCCTCTCTGGAACATCCCTGAAAGGTGGGCAAAGGAAATACTCCTAGCTAGCAGAACTGTGGGTGACACATACGACTGTACACTCTAAGTAGGAGAAATGGCCAGACATGTAATTAAATACAATGTATGTATCTTAGTCAATGGTTTGGCTGGGTGATCATCAAGAAGAACCTGATTAAAAAACTGGTGACAAAGAAATTCAGAGAGGATTTATATGGCTAGATCACTGTAGCTGAAATAAAATAAGAAGATATTTGTATCCCTTGTGAATATTCATCAAAAGATGACCTCAGCAAAGAATGATTGTAATAATTAAGTGGATAAGGTAGCAATCAGCCTCTTCCATACCTATTCTTGTCATCCAATTGGCTCTTGAATAAGGGAGCATGGTAGCAGGGATGGACATTATACATGGTCATGGATTTCTATTTTCCAAGGCTGAACTGTCTATGGACACCAAGTGCCTACTTCATCAACAGCAAAGTCCAAAACTGAAACATTGATATGACACCATTCCCTGGGGTGATTAGTCAACTATATGGTGCAGGTTAATTAGAATGGACGACTTCCATCATGAGAGAGGCAGTATTTTGCACTTTCTATAAGAAATATTTACTTTAGATATGAATTTTCCTTCCTGAATGCAATGCCTCTGCCCAAACTACCAACTTTAGATGTAAATAAGGCCTTACCCAGCATCATAGTATTCCAATGTCGCCTCGGAGCCAGGAACTCACTTTACAGCTAAGTAAATGTGGTAATGGATGCAAACTGATGGTGTACATTGGTCTTATCTTGTTTCCCCAAATCCTAAAGCAGCTGACTTGATAGAACAGTGAAGCAGCTCTTTGAAGACCCAGGTATAGTGGGCTGGGGATTTAGCTCAGCAGTTCGGTGGCCTGCCTTGCAAGCGCAAGGACCCGAGTTCAATCCCTGGTACCAAAAAAAAAAAAAGACCCTGGTATAGTGCCAGCCAGGTCACAATACCTTGAAGAATTTGTGTAAAGTTCTACAGAAGGCTATATATTTACTAAATCAGCAACCATTATGTGATGCTATTTCTCCCAAAGCCGGGATTCACTGGTCCAGAAATCAATGGGTAGAGTTAGGGAGGTATCACACACCATTACTCCTAGTGACCCACTAGCAAAATTCTTTCTTCTTGTCTCCATAATGTTTTGCTCTGCTGATCTAGGGATCTTGGTTGCACAAGAAGAGCCTCCACCAGAAGACATATATTGATTATACTGAACTGAAAGTTAAGTCTGCCCAGCTAGTTTAAGCTTCTTGTCTCTGAATCAACAAACAAAAAAAGGGACTTATGGTCTGTGGTGATTGATTCTAACTACCAAGGGGAAATTGCACTATTACTCCACAATGGAGGTAAGAAAGAATATGTCTAGAATACAGAATATATTTTAACCATCCTTAACATTACCATTCCCTGATATTAAAATCAATGAAGAACAATGGCCCAATCCAGGCAAGACTACTCAAGGCCCAGATCCATCAGCAATGGAAATTTGCATATCCTCTCAATGTAAACTAGGTTCAGAACCCATTAGCAGCTGAGATGTTTGCTCAAGATAAGCACAATACAGAATGAATAGTAGAAAATAGTTGAAATATCAACTATGACCAGAAATTAGAAACATAATTGTCACAAATATTTCCTTAATTTGTTATGGGTACGATGGATATAACAAAATATATATATATATATTTACTTTTTCTTTTCTTATTCCCTTATTATGTAACATAAGATAAAATAATTTTATATCAGTTTTTAAATATTATTAATTTTAAGTTATAATATTTAAATTATAGAATATTAGAAGAAAAGTAAAGATCACTCAATGATTTTGTCTTCTGGGGAAAGGATTAGTGTGTTTACAATAGAATACAAGATAATTTCATCATGCTAGCAGAATTATAACCTTGTTATCATCTTTATTTAGAGATTTACCAAGTTGATAATATTGGTAGATTTGTGATTAATTTTAGGCATCACTTGACTGGACTAAGGAATGCCCAGATAGCTGGTAACATTTCTGTATTCTGAAGATAATATGCATATAGGATGCTTACCTGGATGTGCTCTGAGGAAGAACACCTATAAGAAGGTGAAGGAAGCAGGACTAAGTTTAGGGAAAAGTTTAACTGATGCATTAAAACAGAAACCTTAGTTGTCCTCACCGGAAAAACTAAAACCAAGATGGCTTTTCAGAGGTACTGTTGAACCCTTGCGTGGACAGTTTCTAGTTGCAGACTGCCCCTGAAGAAGGCAAGACCACTTCCTTCCACCGAAGACAGTTTCTGAGCAGCAGCCTACACTCTCAGAAGCTGGAGCATGAAGGGGAATCAACACCCATTAAAGAGCCCATTAGACATACTTTTATACTAAAATGAAACCCTAAGTTAGCAACTTCACCTTTAGGAGAAAAGCAGATACTGAGAATTTTAAAGGCCCCATATTATATGTTATGAGGCTAATATCTGAAAGAAATGTACACACTTCATGTGTCTCCATAGAATAATGAACTTTTCTTTTAAAAGGTTAATTGCTCAAAGAGCAGTGTTTCTGTGGCCTACATAGTATTGTGGCTTTCACAGACAATGCAAGCAGACATGTACTATTTTGGGCCCTGTTAAACCAAAAACAAAAGCAAAGTTGGCAATACTGTTCAGAGCAGGGTGTTTACGTGCTGTCACATACCCCATCACTCTCACCTTCGTGTCTTCCTGAACACTTTGTGAACATCCTTTATGAAAGAAGCTCCCGGCTTGGCAAGATGCAAGATACATTGACATCCAAGGAGGAAGATTTGGATTTTCCTGGGTGACCTTGGCTACTTACTTTTCCTCTTGTAGCCTCAATTTTTTCTCTAAAATGAGGACTTGTTTAGATATTGTAAACACATGATCTGCAGCTATGTGGTTACCCTTCTGTCTCAGGGGAGATGTTGCTAATGAAAACAGGTACTCTTTTACTGTTGAGCTTAGATTAAAAAAGAAAAAAATCCCTCCCAACCAGGAAATCAATACTAATTAATGTCGATACGCAACATGAAGAATACAGGCCACTTCTAAACTAAAAGTTCCTTTCTTGTATCCACAGGTTAATGTCATGCTCAGAACCATGTATGGCAAATCACAAGCAAAGGCAGCCCCAGAGACTCTTGCATAGAGAAGTCCGAGGACCGCATAGTACCAGAAGGAGACACTGAGCTGTTGAGGCAGAAGATCCAGACAGTGCTCCCACATTCTCCAATGGCCTTGGCTTCTCTGGCTTTGCAGGAGCTCCAGCCCCAGGCATTCCTAACTGGACCAGCAAGCAACCTCTGGATTGAGGTGGCCCCGGGGCATGTCAATTACACAGGGCGAGGCTATCAAAGAAAAAGCCAATTTTAGACCATGTCATCACATTAGTGCAAATTAGCTCTGAACTTTACATGTCGTTATAGGCATTTTGTTTTACAGGGACAAACCTTTTCATTCTACAAGCATGATAAAGACACACCACCCCCAACCTTTCCCATCGTTACAATTTCATGAACACTTGCTTTCCCTCTCAATAAGCACACCCTAGTAAGAAATAAATTGATCTCTTAGAAGTGACAGTAGCAGTCCTCTCGCCTAGTCCAGCTGAGCCCTTGTCATTCTCAAAGCTCTCTTCTTCCTCCTACCTTCTCTCCGCATATCACCTACATCTGCTGGCACTGAGTAGCACTTTCTGCACAATGACAGTTTTTCAAGACAAACACTGGTTCTTAAAAGAATCTAGTGTCCTCATTAAGATCAATCTTTTAAGGCCCTTCAACTATTTTGGAATTCTTAACTCTGTCCTTGTCCACTGATTCATCAGTAATGCTGCCAGATGCAATGTATCATTCTATAAGTCCAACTACTTGTCAAAAATAGTAACTGAATCCCCCATATTGCCAACTCAAAGCTTGGTCTTTTGAAGTTCAGATACAAAAATATATCAAGCTCTACTATGTTCAAATTGAATTTGCAGGGTTTTTTGTTTGTTTTTTGTTTTTTGGGGGGGCGGGGCTGATAGCTACCAGTTTCCCAGGCCCCCAAGTCTTAAAGCCAAGCCAGCATTAATATCTCATTAAATGAAAAGTATGACAGAATATAGCATGTCATGATTAGGGGGAGCTCAAGGATGCAGTCCAACTCGTTTTACAGATAGGAAAATTCTTATGCTCAGGAAGCTTAGGTGATTTACTAAGAGTCATACCAAAAAATGAGTGTCAAGACAGAAATTGCATTGTCTGATGGACACCCCCACACATATATGCACCTAAAATGTCATTATCTTTTGTTATTCCAGATAGCAATAAGACATCTCCTTTGGGTGTAAGGAACAAATGACAACAAATTATCATCATTAACTCTCCTCTGAAAATTTTCTTAATGCCATTTCCACTGCACCCCACTTCCCTTCATCCTAAAAGAACTAAAAAATCCAAAGCAAAATTTTTTTCCTAGGGTCTCACTATGGAATTCAGACCGTCCTTGAACTCACTACATAGCCCATGTTTGGCTTGAACTTGCTGTGACCCTTCTGCCTCAGCCTCCCAAGTGCTGGAATTACATGTATGCACCACCATCTCCTGCTTTTTTTTTTATGTCAGTAATAATTTCTGCCAAAGCTTTAAGCAGCATAGACCTGATCAGAAAGAGATGCAGGTTACCAAATTCATGCAGTTTGGGGAACCTATCTGTTGAAAATTCTTCCTCATTACTTCTTTTTGTAAGCTGTGGAATTCACAAGCCCAAACGAGGTGAAGGAACAAGTTATGTGACTGTTTGGAGGAAGCACATCTTAGACTTATTTCTGAAGGACCAATAACTGCACAAGCTTTGAGGCCAGCCAGGTTAAATAACCCAAGCAATAGAGGAAGTGCCAAAAAACAAGGCAAGAGAGTTAGGTTTCTCAAAGAGAGGAAGCAAATTACAACACAAGACATTAAAGCTGTAGTAAGGGTTTCTAATTTTACTGTGAATGATGAGGCATGAAGTGGGGGCACAGGAAAGGGGGAAAGATGATTTCAGTCTACACCAGGGGTCATTTCATATCCACTGGGATGGGTATAAACAAAGCAGTCAAGTAACAGCAAGTGTTGGCAAGGATGTGGAAAAATTAGAAACCTCATTCACTGCTGGTGGGAATGTAAAATGGTGCAGTCTCTTTGGAAAACAGTCTGGCAGCTCCTCAAAATGTTAAACATAGAATTACTATATGACTCAGCAATTCCACTCTTAGCTATATCGCCACCATAAAAGAAACAAGATGTCCCTGCAAAAACTTGTCAACAAACAGTCATACCAACCGTATTCAGAATAATCCCAACAGGAAACATCTCAAATGTCCACCAACTGATGATGTATAAATAAAATGCAACATATCCATAGGATATGGAATATTATTTGACAGGTCAAAGAAATAAAATACTAATACAAACTATAACAGGGATGAACCTTAAAAGAGACCACTAACAAAAGCTAAAATGTTGTCAAATTTTGACACATTCAGTGTCCAGAAAAGACAAATCTATAGAATCGAAGTATACTCATAATAACTGCAAGGGTGCAAGGACAGTTAAGAGGAAAGAAGTCACTGACGCTTTGATGTGGTGATGAATGTTCTTAAATAACTGCAGTGATAGCTACATAATTCTATAGATAGATCGAAAGCTATACAACTGATGTTTTTTGTTTTTTGTTTTTGGTACTGGGGATCGAACTAGGGTCCTTGTGCTTGTGAGGCAGGCATTGGAACCACTAAGCTAAATCCCCAGCCCACAACTGATCTTTTTTTTTTTCTTCATTGAGTTTATTGGTACATTTTAGGTATACAGAACAGTTACATTCATTACTGGGATCTTGCACCTTTACATGACAGGTCTTGGTTCTCATTTTTCCCTTTGTCCCTGCCCTCCCCTCACCCCCTCCTCCCCTCCCCATTTACAAACATTATTTCCATTTTTTCATTTTCTCCTATTTTTTTTTCCTTTCCCTTATTACCCTTCCCACTTCCTTTATGGCTGAGTAGTATTCCATTTGATAGAAAAACCTATCTAGAATATATAAAGAACTCAAAACAATTAGCCTCCTCAAATATAAGGACCTGGTTCAAAAATGGGCATCTAAAATGAACAGATATTTCTCAGACAAAGAAATAAAAGCAGTAAGGAAATATATTTTAAAATGTTCCACATCACTGGTCATTCGAGAGATGCAGATGAAAACAACACAGAGATTCTACCTCACCCCACAAAGAATGGCTGCTATCAAGAAATCAACCAATAACAAATGTTGGAGGGGTTGTGGGGAGAAAGGAACACTTCTCCATGGTTGGTGGGAGTGCAGACTGGTGCAACCTCCGTGGAAACCAATATGGAGATGCCTCAAAGAGCTGGGATTAGAGGTTCCATTTTACCCAGCCATCCCTCTTCTGGGTATCTTTCCAAAAGAATTAAAAGAGTGATATATGCACACCCATGTTTATAGCAGCACAGTTTGTAATAGTTAAAACTTGGAAACAGCCCATTTGCCCATCAGTTGGAGACTGGATAAACTACTGATCATTTTGAATAAGTAAATTATATAGTGTGTGAGTGATATCTCATTAAGCTATTATTTAAAAAGAAAACACACAAGTCTTCCCTTGGGGGTGCTCTGGTAACACTATTAATGTCAAGAGCAGAAGCACGTAAACAATTGGGTGGCTGCTGCACAAGTCAGGTGTGAGATGATGGTGGCTGGACCAGAGAGTGAGCATTGCAGGTAAGAGAAGTCCTTGGGTTTGGGTGACTTTCTGAAAGACAGTAAACATCGTTCTTTTCTGAGAGGTTGAATATGAAACGTGAGCTAGAGGTGAATGTCAGATTGGGATTTGAGCTACTGACAGGTACGCTTGACATGCACTCTGAAGAGGACATTTTTGGAAGAAGAAGAAAGAAAAAAAAAACACTGGGAGAAGTGAGAGCTGGACTTTAGTCCTGGCCATATTAAACTGAAGAACCTATTAGACATCTAAGTGGATAGGTCAAGTGGGCACCTCAATCTGACATTCAGAGAAAAGATGAAAACTGAAAGATAAACATAGGGATAGTCAGCATTTAGAAACTTTGAACACAGAGATAATCACCCACAGAAAGAAGTAGGCATAAAAGATAAGAATTCCAAGGAATGAGGCCCATGACAGCCCAAAACTTTGGAATCTGGAAATAAGAAAAACCAACAAAGCACATGGAGAAGATATGTCCATTGAGATAGAAGACAAATAAGGTAAGTGTGGAACTTTGGAGCCAAAGAAAGAAATATTTAAATGAGGAGGAAGCACTCACGTGTGGCAAGGATTTCTGATGATATCTGAGAAGTCAAAAAAGATGAGGATTGAGAATTGTTCAGCGGACTCAACAGTTCGGACATCACTGCATGGTCTTCACAGGATTAATCTTGGTGAAGGGCTGGAGGCAAGAGACTAGTTGGAGTTCTGTCAAGCAAATATGAAAGAAGAGAACTTGGAAGAAAATAATAATTCACTCATAGATGTTCTTCAAGGAAGTTGAGAGAAATGGAGTGGAAGCTGCAAGAGATGCATGTCAGAAGAGGCTCTTTCTTTTAAGGTGTGAAAAATCACACCATGCTAATTTTCTGGGGAAACATCCAGGAGATGAGTAAACAGGGAACCACTGATGTGGGAGAGAAGGTGGTAATGGCAGACAGTGACTCCAGAGTAGAGATAAGACCTGAGTTCTGTTGCCCAGAGGCAGGGTCTGGGCTTAAGCACATGAACACGATGGCAAAAGGAGGTCATTGAATATAGCATGGCCCGGATAAATATGGAAATTGGTCATGTAAACATTTTCTTTGGATTGCTTCTTTGTGAAACAGGAGGCAGGATCATCAGATGAAAGTGAAGAAGAGGGGAAGGGGTATTAGAATTTTGAGGAGAAAGAAAATAGTCTTTTGTAAAGGGAGAGACTAAGTTGTTTATTTCTGACAGACCTAGTGGGTTCATTTGGTTTGGTTTGGTTTGGTTTTGCAGTATTAGTGAACCTTCAGACTGATCTGTATTCTTGGCCCTTTTTAAATTTTAGCTTTTTTTTTTTTTAAACTTTAAGACAGGATCTCGCTAAATTGTAAGCTCAGCTTCAATTTGAGATCCTCCTGCCTCAGCCTCTCAGAGTTCTGGGGTCACAGACATATATGACACCACCCAGTTTATCAGTTTTTAATTTAAGCGCCATTGTCTGCATGTTTTTTTTTTTTCTCCAGCCACACTGAAACGCATATATACAGGCAGAGAGTGAAGTTTAATCCAGAGGTTTTCAGAAGACTATAGTGTGGAAACAAAGGGCAGGTAGTTGATGGAATGTGAGAAGATAATCATATTGATGGTCAAGTTTTAGACCCAATCTAGGCTGGGTACAGAGTGAACTGACAACACTGAGGGTTGAGAGGCAGTGAAAAATGGGTAGGTTAATTAAGGATAGGTCTTAGTGGAGAAGAGATGTGGAAAGCTTGAGGAGGCAGACACACATTAAGCTGTAATCATACACCTCTACCTTGGCCTGAATTATAGGCACTTGTTAAATTGTAGTAAAGTTTAATGAATTAATATCATCTGCAAAGTGACATGGTGTACTGGTTTCCTGGGGCTGTATAACTAGGTGGCTTAAACAACAGAAATGTATTATCTAAGTTCTGGAAGCTAGAAGACCCAAATGAAGGTGGTGTCAGGTTGATTCCTTCTGAGTGTTTCAAGGGAGACTTTGTTCCATGCCTCTCTCCCAGCTTCTGGCAACCTGAGGCAATGCTTGACTTGTAGATATCATTTTCCCTACATGTTCACATAATCTTCCCCTCTGTACAACTTTGTCTCTGTGCCCAAATTTACCCTTTTTATAAGGACACCAGTTGAAATACAACAGGTCCCTCTCTAATGACCTGATTTTAA